TAAAGCCACACTCCCAGATTTGCATGTACTAGCTCTTTTCTAAATTACCATTTTGGACACTGCGAAGTCTTCCCTTCAAAACTGGCTGAATGAAAATACAGAAAAAGAAAAATCACAGGAGAAGTTCATTTTGCCTTTAATTAAAGTTCTTGGCAGCAATCCAAAATGCAGCTGCCTAGAATTGACAGAGATGGTCATTTTTATTTGGGAGAGTTAAACTCAGGTTGCTGTCTGTGCCATTTGAAAGCCCAGAAGCCATTTAATAGACTGGAAAAGCATACAATTCCTTACTTTACACTCTTTGTGGTGACTGGCTGCACTACGGGCGGTCTACAGACTGTGCACTAAGGAAGATGTGCCGCGGGACTGTGAGGATGAATGTATTCTTTGCATCTTACTAACACGTGAAAGTGAGAGGGGAGCCTGCAGGCTTTACTGACCAAGGGTGGAAAGAGAAGCCGCACCCAGGGTAATGTTGCTTCAAAGGCACCGGGAAGCTGATTATTTAACTTATTTGGTATTCTGTGCAAACTTTTCCATGGTTATTCAATTTATTACATAACACATGTTTCAGAAATGAAAAGAAAAAAATCAGACACCTCTTTTGGGGGCATGACTAATGGGCCATTATGACAGCAATTAAAGAACAACCACCGACAGCCGAAACAGCTACCACTACTGTGCTTTTCTTAGGTTTGCTGTTAATTACATCAAATTTAAGTCTCTAATGAATTTCAATTACATCAAAATAGGGCATCAAATGAAAGACAATTCTGGTGAAGAATGCCTTGCTAAAAATGCACTTTCTTGAACACATTATGACTTACTGTCCAGGTTCAACGTTGCCCATTGGACTCTGATTGATTCATCCTAACTTCTTGGCAGGTAGGCATTGCCCTAAGATCATTTTCATATCAGCACAGCCAACCACAGAACTGTAGAGTAAGAGGAGATGCCCTCATGCCTCTAATTAAAGCTGCAGGAAAAGCAGACACTATGTTGAGGTAATTATCAGCAGCAATCCCATCTATGAAACTTTTTTTTTTTTTTTTTTTTTTTTTTTTTTTTTTTTTTTTTTGGCTTGGAGTTTGGTGTAGAGACACCAGGCACTCAAGAGACAGTTCTAGAAAAAAAGAAAAAAGAAAGTAAAAGAAAAGAAGCAGATACCCGAGGTCCCTGGGAATGAACATTAAAGTGGACAGGTTTGTTTCTATCAAAGGGTATTGCTGTTGGGTAACCACTGAAGTAGATTTTCATTGTGCATGATCTACCTTAAACACTTTACTTTTTCACTGAGAGGAACAGTGAACAATTCCACGAAATAAAACCAACAGCTTTAAAGAAAAACAAATGATTCTATACTATATCATTTTGTTACACAAGCAAAGTAGAGAGAGACCTCTGCTAGAACCCATCCTTCAGCCCAGAGCTCCAACACTAAATGTGTACCTTTAGATCCCAGGTTTGACTATATATTACAGAACAAAAGAAATGCTCTATAACTGTGTTCTGCTCATGCGCATACAGGTCAGTCCAGTAAGCCTCAAACTGAGGTTCCTGGGAAGAGGCTGCTAGAACAGAGAATGTTCTTCAGCTATGTTTTTTTTAAAGGTTTATTTATTTATGTATTTAATGTATGTGGGTGTTTTGTCTGCATTTACAGCTGCACACCAGAAGAGGGCAACAGATCCCATGGGACTACAGTTATAGTAGTTGTGAGCTACCATGTGGGTGATGGGAATTGAACTCAGGATCTCTGGGAGAGCAGCCAGTGCTATTAACTACAGAGCCATTCCTTTAGCCCCTCAACTATCTTTTAGTTGAATTACATTTATAAGGCTTGTTCTTAATAAGGGAGTATTTTTAATAGCGTGTTTAGAGGATCACAAAATATTGCTGTTCACGCACTAACTGGAAAACTTTGCACAGCAGGACCACACTATGTCATGCCTGTATACAAATGTAGAAATGTTCCTACCCCAGAAGCAGAATGGTTTGGTATTTGGTATTTGGTTCAAGGGCTACTTCACAGAACACATGGATCCCTAGCTACAAGTTTTAAATCTCCTTCTCAGGGGGAAAGCATGCAAAGTTCTCTGAAGATCAGTGTCTTCTCAGGAAGACCTGCCTAGAACAAGCACTCCAGGAGGCTGTCCACAGATGACCTGCAGCACTGTCCATTAGAACAGTCTCATGCCCTCATGCTTTCCTTCACAGTGTCTAGCTGAAAACCACGTATTGAATCACCACCCACATTCACGATCCTCCATCACTGATGCTTGTTCTAGACAGTGAACAGGTGGACATGCAAATGTTTACAATAGAACCGGGGAAAAGCTCACAGAGAGTCATACAAATTGAACCAGAATATTTACTAAAACAGATTTTGTGAGGAGATGTTAAAATTAATATTGAAATAAAAATTTTGCTCAATTTTCCTCAGTCTATATACAAAATCCAACAATCAGTTTAGGGCAATAGTACCCACTGATGGTGTAATTTGGTGGGACTCATATTTCAATTTCATGAACACCTTGAGATAGTTACTTTTTAAAACTTTTCTTAATAAGTCACTAATTTATTAGTACTTTCTCACATAACTTCCACTAATTTCCCCCACCCCTGTTTGCTGTGTTTGATCATGTATGTACTTCCTCAATTTCTAAAAGTAAAATTGAGAAGCATTTAAGCATAAAAAGGAGAAACAGCAAAGGCTAATGATTTATAAGTATTACTGGACATATCTACATATATGGTCACTAATATTGATATGAAAACATATTCAAGGTGTCTGGGAACTGATTATCAGCTAGAAAGAGGAAGTATGAAACCCTCTGGAGAAGGTTTGGTAATATATGGAAGAGTTGTGGTGATGCAAAGGGCAGAGCATTAACAATACAGAAATAAGAAGGTGGAAGTAATCCCATGCCCTTGTACACAACAGACTGAGACAAAGCTTGTCAGAAAGCTGGAAAAAAAAAAAAACCCTTTAAAAACTCATCAGTTGTCCTATAAGAAGTATATAGAATAAACACACTGTTTCTTGTTTTACATTCAGGCATACTTTTAAAAACCCACCTTGGGCTACACTCTAACTGGCATTGGTAAAGTGCATTCAACAATAGTTTTCACCCATCTACCCACCTGCCTCCCCATAGTAAGCACAGGACTAGGTCAAACAAGTGAATTCCCATAATGCATAACATGGTGGTCCCGCACATTTCAGGACTGGGGCCCAGAGAGAACCGGCAGGGACACACAGCCCCCCAACAGAGGACCCAGTGTGCAGGAGCCTAAAATTATGTATTCTATTTGAAAAAAAAATAAAGCTTTTATTTTCCAACAGGTTTTTACTAGATCGAATGCTGAGCCATTACAGTTTGGGAAGGGACACAACTTGGCTTTGTCTCAGTTCGGTACTATGTCTGCGATCCTGAATGGGTGTTGGGTGAAGCCGTTCTAAATACCCCTTCACAGGTAGTCAGTGTGGGGGTGGGGGTGAAAGGTCAACAGCATTTAGTATCAGGTCATCTGAAAGAGGACAAACTGCAGCTGGAGGAACCTGACTTCCATTGGCATATCAAAATCGATCACAAGTCATTTTGAAGACGGCCTTGCTAAGTCTACAAAATGATTGCTGCTAACATAAACAGTCATCGAGTACCCATCTGCTGGGAATGATTCTTGCTGATGTCACATCAAGCAACTTCCTTCTCCCCACAACTGACTGTGCTGTACAGATTCATCATCAAAATGAATAGGTTGCAAGAAATAAGGGCAAGGATATCAAGAAAACTTAGGAAACTTAGAAACCAAAAATGTGTTGAAGGAGACAGGCAGAGATGCTGAACCATTTCCTGAGGTGACAATGATGCCTGTGAGCTCAGAGGGCTATGAAAACCTCAAATCAACTGTATTGCATTCTCAGTCTTCTTCCCTATTTTCAAGTCTCTTCAGGGAGGGCAAGTCCCTTTTAAAGATTATGCAATTGTGAAAGTTAATATATTTTATCACCAATCCATGAGTTCAACCGGTGTCATCACTCTCTGAGGAAGCTTGTCTCTTTTCATGAACCCCCTGACCCATTCAAGGTTGGAAAGAGGAGGCCAAAGAGTGAGAGAGCCAAGGTTTAAAAATTAAATGTTTTGCTTTCCAAATTACACCAACATGTTGCTAGTTTTAACTGGGCTATATTTTAACTGGGCAAACTGCAAGATGGCTTGATCAAAATAGTCTCCCAAACAGTTAAAACTGGAAGTCTGTTAAAAAACCCATTAAAAATCCCCAACTTTGGCAACAATTAAAGATCTACAAAAGAGTCATCAGGGAAAAACAGCTTTTTTTGTGGCTTTATTCTAAAACATTAAATCATTTTGTATTTAGTGGCTGCCTAACCATGAACAGGAAGCAAGTTAGTCTTTATAAACTTCTCAAAATTGAAAATTGCCTGTTCGGGTAGAAACTGCTTCAGAGATATATTTCTCTAATTTCCGAGTTTGAGTCTCACAAAGCAACTATCATGGATACACGTGAGACATGAACCTTATCGTAAGAGAAAGGAAGTTTGATTGACAGCAGCAGTATAAGATTCATCTACTGTAGTTCACTGTGCTTCAAAATGTTCCCATGATAACAATCTGAAGGTAGACTAAATGACTTATTTGGTAAAATAATATTTGTGTCATCGTGAAATTAAGGTATGACAGAATCAGGGCCACTTACAACCAACAGGAACTTAGCTACACATGTGAAGAAAAATCAAAATACAAAACATAGCAAAAATACCAATTTCTATACTCAAAACATAGAGTCTGTCTATCTATCTATCTATCTATCTATCTATCTATCTATCTATCTACCTATCTATCTACATATACATTACTATTTTGAGATAGTTCTGAGTATTACTTCCTGAATCACTAAGATATAGAACCCCAGGGGGGAAGTGTGGGTGGGGAAGTAGAGAAGTGGCCCTGGGGTTACAGAAAACTTGGCTGTACCTGCCATGCAGTAAGGCACGAGGTGCACATCAGATGTCCACAAGGCTCAATCTTGACATCTTTGTCATTCTCTGCACAGATCTTACAAAGCTGAAAAGTAGAGCCCATTTCACAATATAGTTCATACTGTTCCTGGAATACAAGGAAAAGGGGCCAAAGTTAACAGTTTTCTAGCACTAAGTATTGATATTAAGTTTCCTCAAGTACAATGACTTACAGTAAGTTTCCCAAAGTTGAACTTGTCGGAATTATGCTACCATTTTAGGACATGTTCTCTTCAATTCAATAATTCTTCGGTTAAACATGTTTCTTATTTGGCAACGTTGGGAATGCATACTCGTCTATTCTTATATAGCAGTTGGTTTTTAAAAGCGGATGTATACAACGTAAATTTTAAAGGTGAAGCACTTAAGAGCTGAATCAACAGAGATTTGTAGGGGACAAGAAGCAGAAGTTCCCAGTGAACACACAGTGCTCCTGCCCAGCTGATGTTCACTTCACACAAGCCCTGTGAGTAGCTACGGGTGATTTAATTCACTGCTGAACATTTTAGTATTTTGTGATTTGTTGCTTTATGGGAAATGGTACAGTGAACACCCTGGTGTGCAGTTCCTACTGTGCACAGGGAAGTGCTAACACATGGTGCTTATCAAAAGATGTTTTCATTTAGATTTTTGGCTTTATTGAAAATTACAGAGTTTTCCAAGTTCTCACTCAGAGTCCATGGGGCTGTCAAACTGGATTTATAAAGCTGTAATCATTATTTTCAGTGATCTTGACTTTAAAACCCTTAACACAAAACTGATCACTTCTTATCCTGTTTAACTCAGGTTTTCTCCTTACATCTATCCAGCTACATCTGATTATCTATCTTAGATAGATACCAATAAGATTGCAAGAATTACCACTAACAACAAAATTTTTTATCTAACACTGGTCATAAAATTTCTCTGAATTCTCAGAAGTCCTGGTGTTATTATGTTAAACATTTGAGTGTGCTTTCTCATCAGGGTATTTCACAGACGTGCTAATTATATTTCAAGAATATTCTTACCTGTGTAACTTTTATATGATCATGAGGTGTAGGTTCACATAATCCAGTTAAATCAGGGTTATAACTTCGCCCATCAGGATAAAGATAACTGAAATTAAACAAAAATTATATTATTTAAAATGAGTTTTACTGCAAATAAGTCTCATCAGATTCTTCTATGTGTAGACTCATATTTTTGTCTTTTTTGGTAAATCAAGAAAATATTTTTGCACTGTTTTAATCATAAGAAATGCATAATATAAACTAATGCATTTTATAATCATTTTCAATTAATGTATGCTAGTGTTTATTCCTCATAAAGTTAAAAAGTTAACTCAGTAGTGAGTCATATCCCATTCTAAAATGACTTGAATATATTTCTACTAGCAGATTATTATATACTTTATTGGAAACATCATAACTGTATCAAATTAACATCATGTTGAAAATCACATGCAGAGAAAAAACAGAATTAAGCCATAACCTAAGTCCTAAATTATCAAGCTCTTCTGTGGGGGCCTTTTCCATAGTTTCCAAGTCTTTCTCTCCGAATCTTTCCACTTCTGCTAACATGCGCACATGTGCACAATGCCTAGATGTGAACACTGTAAAATATGCAAATGCATGTTATAAAACCAGAAAATATGTTAATCCCATATTTTACTGACTTCAATAAAGTCACACACCCAGGCTTAGAGAAACAGATTTTCTTCTCAGAATAGAACTTTGAGCAAAAGTTATAATAAGGGATCTTCCTACAATGTTCAAAACTGCTTAATTGTTATTCAAAAATGTACAGAAAATCAAGTTTATTGTCATTAATGTCATTTTTATAGTCAAATATGACTATAACGTTATTGTTGGCAAAATTAGTTCAATAAATGTGATTAAAATCTATGTTTAGTCCTGTTGAACTTTTTTCTGTATTATAGAGCTTAATAAAAATTTAAAAAATGAATAGTGGTGACTACTTTAATGAAAAAGTCTGTAAAATATTTTTGATAACATAATAAAATCATTCATCTTCAAATGAAGTATCTAGAAACATCAGAGTAACCAATATACAAACAGTGTGACCATGGGGCAACTAAATCTTATAAATAGTAAATGAGGAATAATAAGCAAAAGTGGGTACCTTTCTTCTCATATCACAAAATGGCTATTACAAATATTGTCATGTAGTATTGAAACCATCAAACTACATACTAATTTGAGGAAGATATCCAACTTGGAACATTAATGAAAATGAAGATGCAGAGAAAGCTTACAAAGGTCTACTTAACCCATGAAGGGCATCTCCATGATTTGGTTCTCAGCATTCCCAGAATGCCCCCATAAGCTACTGACCATGTCAATGAAGAAAAATGGCACCCTGGCCCATTACCAACATACACCTGTCATCTATGTCACACAGTATTCATTTAACAGTAAGAGAAAATATCCAGCCCTGATGATAATTAGACCAGATGCCATTCTTTGTTTTAAGAAAATCCTCCCAAATTAATATTATGTTTACTTTATCCTAATCTACTGTGGGAGCTAGATTCAACCAGCCAATTGATTTGGCAATACCTCTGAGCAAGTATGAACTTGTGTGTGTATATGTATACATATTAAAAGTTAATTTGATTAGGAGGTCAGTAGGTTTGTTATCTTTCAGGAAAATTTCCTAGTTGTTATTTACTCGGGGTGGGGGTGGGGGTAGGGGTGGAGTTTGGCTTTTGAAAAAATAGAAGGCATAAAATATAAATAAAGAACAAAATAGAAATCAAGAACAAATAAACAAAAGCAAAAACCACTCACACTGGTCTATGCATAGTTTTGACAATGAATACCTTCTTTATGCGATTAAAAAGAAAAACCTATATCATGGTGAATCAAAGTTTCTTATAGAAACCTTTAAGGTACTAGAAGTAAAGCATGAAAGAAGAACATCAAATTTATGATGATCCGAAGACAAAAAGAGAAATGTGTATGTGGCACCGCAACCGTCCATCCATTTCCAATATACCCTTTAAACAGACAGCAACTGTAACTGCGGAAGCCCAGAGGTTGAGGCAGGAAGATGGAGAGTTAAAGGTCAGCTTGGGCTGCAGAGTGAGTTTAAAGAACAGGATGCAAAACACATGGAGGACCAGTCTCAAACAGCCAAGCAGAAAACAATCAAAGAGTAACAAAAGCATTGATTTCCTTCCCACAGACAATGTTCCCATCTTCCTTCTATTTTTAAAGACTGTCCTCCTTCCTTTCTCTCCCTTGTTCATTTTTGCTGTTTACTAATTACTGTAGAAAAGGAAGCATCTAAATCATTTGCTTTCTACTAATTCTGGTGGACTGTCTTCTGCCAGGCCTCCAACACAGCCTTTCATATCCCTTCCTGCAAGCTGGGTCCCATGAATCTGTGTGTTCTGAACGAGTGGAAGATGGAAAGAACAAGGCAGAGTGGTGGAGTGATGCTTAGAAAACAAGGAGGGGGTTATGACAATAGGAGATGACTAAAACTCCTAAGAACCGGTCGGGTGTACCGACCATGAGGGCCTGACAGGTCCAAACTCTGGGGCTGAGAACCTTCTAGGAGGAAATCTTAGTAACATTAAAATTTTAATAAGCAACAGTTTGGCATGAATTGAGTTTAGCTATTAACATGTAACTCTGAAATCTGGATTCATTATTAAGGTTAAGAAAAAGACAGACAATTAAAAAAGGAAAGCGAACAGAAGATTAAAAAGGAGAAAAAACCCTAGTACTCAGAACAACAGGCAACACTCAATTTTGTTTTATATGAAATAAAAGCAATGAATGAAGTAGTAATGCACACATATTTTAAAGATACTCCGTTTCAGCATTTTTTTGATGCCAAAATATGTCTGCTCTGTATAATAAGGGTGCCATAAAATGATGGTTTCAGCATGAGTAACAAGAACGAAGGGATGTCTATTATATTCCTTCGGCTTGAGGTACACCGCAAACTAGGAGATCATTAGCCTCACTATCTGTTCCATGCCCATGCAGAGTCTGGGTTTTGAATTTGCAAGTCGAACAAATTGTCTCATACTTACAAGCCTTCTCTGCTACCATCGATCAGGGCTTGGAATAGAGGCTTGTTATGAGGTATGGTCTGTAGGATATTGCCATCCCCAGTCACATAGCCAATGGCCCACTGTCCCAGCCGGGTGCAGCTTAACCGGAAAATGTAGCTACAAAACATGAAAAAAAAAAAAAAAAAAAAAAAATTTC